ATTATCAACATTTCTGGGAATGGCTGGCTACTATAGAAAATTTTTGAACAATTTTGCGGAAATTGCCGATCCTCTTTATAAGATTGTCAATAAAGAAAAATGGGCTTGGAATCTAGAACACTCTAAAAGTTTTAATGATCTAAAGAAGTTAATTAGTCTTCCACCTGCTTTGACATATTTTAACCCTGAATTACCTATAGGGATAGCCACTGACGCATCAAAATGTGGTTTAGGAGCTGTACTATTTCATATTGAAAAAGATGGTAAAGAAAAACCTATAGCTTTCGCGTCGAGAACTTTATTAAAATCTGAAATGAATTATACCAATATTGAGCGTGAGGCTCTCGCTATAATGTTTGCCATAAAGAGATTTCAGGAATATTTAATCGGCACAAAATTTACAATTATTACTGACCATAAGCCTCTAGTTCACATCTTCACCAAGGGTCTCAAGGATAATAGCACCATGTCGTTAAGACTCCAGAAGTGGAATATTACATTAGGAGGATATGATTTTTATATAAAGTATAAAGCCGGTAAATATAATGTTGTTCCTGATTGCCTTTCAAGATTACCACAAGTATGTCGTGATGAAACTATTGAAAATGTAACCATTATAAATGAATATGAGGATTTACCTATTAACTTTGATCAAATCCGTGATGAAACTTTGAAAGATACGGAATTAAAACAAGTCATAAATGATATTAATAACAACAGACCTATAATGAATAATATTTATAAAAACATTGAATTGGAATTAAGTATAATTAAAGATTGTCTTTACAAAAGCAATAAAATCATAATTCCGTCTAATATGAGAAAAACTATACTACAGTCATTACATGAAGGTCACTTGGGAGCAGGAAAAATCAAATCCTTAGCCAAAGATTACATGTGGTGGCCTGGCATAAATAATGATATTGTTACGGAAGTGAAAAGTTGTGACGATTGTAATATATATCACGATAATCCTATTAAGATACAAAAACCATGGGTTTCGGCAACTAAACCGTTTGAAAGGATACATATAGATTATGCGGGTCCGTTTTTCGCAAAAAATTGGTTGATAATAGTCGATGCCTATAGCAAATTTCCAATTATTATTCCTGTTAAAAATATTACGACTAATGTTACTTTAAAAGAAATCTTTAAAACTATTTCGCTATACGGAATACCTGAAACTATAGTTACTGATAACGGTACTAACTTTACGAGTAACGATTTTGAAAAATTTTGCAACAATTTTGGTATTAAACATGTGCTTACATCTGCTTATCACCAGCAATCCAATGGCCAGGTTGAACGCATGGTTAGAACGTTCAAAACACACATGAAAAGGAATATTAAAATAGACCCAGATATCGCACTTAGCAAATTTTTACTTAATTACAGAAATACGCGTAATGATACTACAGGAGTTACACCATCACAGAGAATGTTTAATCGAGATATTAGAATTAAATGGGACTTATTAAAACCGATGGAGGAAAAGAAGAATAAAATAAACGTTACCTTACCACGAAATAGAACTTTTAACATAGGAGATTTTGTTTGGTATAAAATACAAGGTGATGATAAATGGTGCAAAGGTATAATCACACATAAGGAAAGTGATATGATGTTCCAAATTAAGACTGAGAAAGGTATTTTGAGGAGACATTTAGATCAAATAAGAATTAGAAACTGTTTTAACACAATTATTAACAATGACTCTAAGGATTCTTTTAAGGAGGGAAGTATGGACAAAAATATAAAAATTACTGATAATAATGATATAACACCTATCTCTAGACCTGTGCGAATTAAAAATAAACCTGCTTATTTAAAAGACTATGTAACTTAAAATATAAAATAAATATTAAATTGCATAAACTAAATTAAATATTAAAACGCTTATATTAAAACGCTAAAAATATAACAATCTTATTGATTTATCATTCTTCATTTATTCTTATGATGAACTATTATTTCTTATTCGCAACTTATTTTGTTGATTTATCATTCTTCATTTATTCTTATGATGAACTATTATTTCTTATTCGCAACTTATTTATGATAATAACAATTTCGGAAAAATGACAATTAACAATTGAGTACTATCAAACAAGCTATGATTAATGGAGACAATTTACGATATGGATATCGAGCTTGCGATTTAAACAAACCAACGTGCAAAATCGATTTATACAAACCAACGATTGGACAAGCCAACGTTATGATGATTTGTGATACAACTTGATTACCAAAACGATAAACCACTTGGACAACAAACTCTCTGTGTCTTCTCCGATGAAATTATCAGAAGAGGGAGAATGTTGCGTTATTATAATTATATATTTTTGTAATCTAATTTTATTTTTATATTACATTTTATGAATTCAAATTTATCTTTTCAACTTAACTTTTTATTTTTGTAATTCAACTTATATTACTTATTATTTTGCGTAACCTTATTTATATAACTTTCGGTTTAACTTTACTTTTTTTATATTATTTTATTTTTTATATTTGTTTATATTCTAATTTATATTTTATAAAAACGTATAAATACTTTAAGAAAAGAAAAAGAAATTAGTCAATAAAGTTAATAAAATATATTTTTACTGACTCGAACCTCGCATCATATCGTCACCACCCATATTCTTTGCAAATTTCATGCCGATTAACACCTCAAATCCATGAATCATATTGACAATATCAAAGCAAAATTGGGTTTTGTGTCTTGTATGATATATAAATTAATGCATTTTTATAATAGTGCACTATATGCCTTATGATATATGGAAAAATAAACGGATGATTCAATGTAAGAACTAATTGTATAAAAAACTCTATAAATACTTTCTCTATAATTATTTACTATTAAAATTCATTTTCTATAATGGTTTCCATAGACATGAAACCATTTTTTTCACTTTTTAAATATATTAAATATATGTTGCTGATTATTTATTGCGTATGACAATCTTGGCACGTCTTTATAAATGGCTAAGTTTTATTTATTAGGCAATTCAATTTTAAGATACTCTTAGTGAATATGAGCTACATTGTTAGGTAAATTTTTAAAATTGCAAATGATTTAAAAATGTAAAATTAATCATTTTAATCATTTTAAACATGTAAGTATGTTGTGTTATTTTAAATTAAAAGTTCGAAATTTTTATAATTCTTATTTACTTTTTTAATATTGGTCTTTAAATCCTTTAGTGTTTTTATTATTATAATTAATCTATACCGTAACTAAACAACTATGGTGCACTTATTATCATATGGAACTTTGCAAAAAATAGATTTATGTTAATAATTAATGTTTAAAGGTAATAACAAAATTTTTTATTTATTTTTATTACAATTTATATTTTTTGTTTAAATCTTTTTTCTTGTTTCTTAACTTAAAAAATCAATTTATATTATAGTTATATTTTCATTAAAATTGTCAATTTATATTTTTTTGTTATTTTATAACTAAGCTTTTTTTTGTAAGGTATTACTTTATTTAAAAAACAAATTTTCATAAATTAATTATAATTAAAAATATATGTATTAAAAAACAAATAAGTATATATTAAAAATGAATTAAAAAATATATAGGAACTGAGGAAAATAAAAAATTTTAAAAAAGAGTACAAATCATCCTAGAGAAGAGTGAATGCTTAAAAAATCGGACCTGAGATCTGCCTCATTTTTTTTCCTATGGTTTTAATGACTTCCGAACATGCCTAGGGTTTTGGTAACGATTGAGATAAACACAGTGTTGGTGAGGCAAGCATATTTGTTTTTATTCGGATTTCGGCCTCGATGGCAGAAACGGAGAGGTTGGACTTGGCGATAAAATCAACACAGGTATAGACCCAAGCAAGTGGGAGACCCTTGGTCCAGGGAATGAGAGATATGCCATCTGGGCGTATGGCGTTTTTGTTTGAGATGACCACTGGTTCGAGGGTGGATGGATATTAACATTTTTAAGAGCAGTTAGGAGAATATTGTTAATAGATTTATGATGCGGTTGTCGTCCATGGGAGAACTTGCAGTGGTTAGATTCAATTTTAAACCAAGAACATTTTATTTTTTATTAAATGGTTGATTATTATTATTTATTTTTTTATGGATATATAAAAAACATTTTTTTGTTAAATAAAAAATAGACATGTTTATATTGTACAAATTTAGTGTGATTATGAATATTGATGATTGATGAAATAAAGAAAATATCTTAGATTTAAAATTTTATACAAAACCAACATGGATATTATTGACCTCAACAAAATAATAATATAATTTCAGCAATAATAATCTATAATTTTTTATATAAAAAAAATATATATCGAATTCATTTTTATTAATTTAATAATCGATATTAATGTGAAATAACATGTAAATGATGTAAATTATAACTTATTTAGAAAATACAATTTAAAATACATATAAAAATTATTTTAAAAAATAGGGTTTCTTTCCCAAATAAGCAGTTTGTCTTCACCACTATGGGTAAAAATCTGTTGTCGGTTGTAAATATTTTTGGGATTTCCTTTCTTCAGCTAAACCTAATGGATAGTAATTATAATTTGATGGGAAAAAATTTCTAAACATAAGGTCCTAATACATGAGTTTCCCTATATTCCTGAGGATTAACATATGCCCATCAGGCTGAAAATATTTATTAATTGATTTATCTCGTGGTTCAAGATGTGAAGGAACATCGGCTTTGAAAATGAATGTTGGAATATTTTATTATTTCATTTGCGCATTACATATTTGTTTCTGTACATGAATATATTGCAAAGTAATAACCATAACAAAATTTATAATATATAAATAATAAATTATCTTATATACATACACATATATTTTCATTATATTAATATTAAAATATTGTGTAAAATTCAGTTATAATCCAACTATAGAAATGATAAATTTTAAGTGTGAAATATTAGTATACTTATAAAATGTGTTTTCATTCACTAATTATATTATGAATCAATATTTATAAACTTATCATTCGCTAACTGAAGCGAGAGTTGTACGGCAATGAGACATTAATACAGTCTAGAGTTTAGGCATATGTCCCATCTACCCTATCCTTGGCCTCGTGCTGATGTGTTTATATGAGCAATAATTTCATTAAAATTTATTATAATGTTAAATAAACCCATGTCTAAAAATTATAATCAATAATTTTTTAAACATATTTATAATCAAATTTCTATGCGATTCCATGGTTGATAAAAAAAGATTTTTAAATTAATTAGCCAAATGTAAAAAATTAAAATACCCTTTCCCTTTAAGATTAGTAATTTTGTTTAATTCGGTGTTTTACATTTTTCTAAATTCGTAGAATTTCGTTTGCATTTATTTTTCTTAGCAACAGCTATATTTGTAGATAATACTTCAACTAATCTATAAAATCATAAAAAAGTTATTATAAAAATATTTTTTATTACCTTTTCGCCTCAATTCCATTGAAAATAGTATCATTCTTGCATGAAAGCTTTAAAGGATGCATATATTTATTTAGAAGATTTTTTTATATAAGTATATTTTACTTCAATTATAGATTTGGCATAAGAAAGTTTAATCCAAACTTTACTAACATCGATATTTTGGGATTTACTTGAACTCTTAAAATTTAAAAATTAATAGATTTCGATTATTTCAATATCAATTTTACTAAATAGATTGAGTTAAGAGCGTTTTTAATGAGAATATATTCTCGAATATCGTCAGTTTCAATTTCCTAAATAAATTAATAAATTTTTTTTTATTCAAACATTTTTTTTAACCTTCTCACAATCCGGAAGATCAACTAAATAATGAATTTAAAAATGAAAATATATTAAACATAAATAAGGCAAATTTTTAAAATAAAATAAATTTAAAAAATTATAAAAATTAGGATAAAAGATTTTATAATTAAAAAATAAAAGGCATGCATCAAGTAGGATCTGGGTTAAATTTGAAATAAAAAGTCATAAATTAGGATAAGATGGTAAAAAAATTATTTAAAAAAAATCTCCCTATATAACACAAATATAAATATAGGCCATAATCGACAACACTTCTAACACATATTTTATTGGGGCACCTAGATTAGGGAGGAGCATGCTGTTACACACAAAAAAATATAACTTCGAAACCATTTTAACTTTAAATTTGGTAATTTTACTATGATATGTATGTTTAAGAAGAATTGTGAGCTCTACACTGGCATCAGTGTAATTACGGGGAGTAATCTGATAAATATACCCCCATAACCCAAAATTTTCTTAATGATTAATTAAACATATTAAAAATATTGCCTAAATTGGTCAAACACAAATATTCCGACAAGCTGGCTATTAAATTCAAAATTTTACTATTCAAAAACCAAAGGCTATTTTAAATTTCTTAACTTGTTTTTCAAGATTTGATTAATTAAATTAAAATAATCACAAAATTTGCTGGCCCCTTTAAATATCTAAATATATTTATTTATGATCCCGAAGGTCTAAAAGAGCAAAAATTAGACATAACCCTTTATAATATAATAATTAATATAAAGAATTATCTTCATTTTATTATAAAGTGGTATAAATATCCACATTTTAGTAAAATGCTCACTTATATATTCAAATCATATTTAAAATATTCATTGGGTGCTTAACAATTTTGAAGAGCTTTTTATTAAGGAGGACAAATGCTAAAAAAAATGTTAATAATATTAGCGAGTTATTTTCCGCATTGAAAAAATTGAAGAGTTAAAGGTAATTCTTATGAAATGAATAATTCATTGACTAGAAATATTAAAATTTAATCGCACTCCTTCCAAATGTATTAGAAGAAATGGCTACAAACTAAGTCTATGAGAAATTATATAAAATTTAAATTAATATTTCTAATCATATTTTTCATTTAATATATTTTTGAATTCTTTTTATGATTTTTATATGCAATACTTTATTTTGGATACAATTCTAATCTTTATATCCAATGAATTTTGTTTGAATCTTTTTAAAAAAAAACACTTGAGCAAATTAATTTGATAAAAATTTAGCCAAGGCGAACCGGTTAAAAATTTTATAATAGTATTTTGCCACGACCTGTATATCCCTGTCAGCAGGCCTGTGAGGTGATAACTTATCATGAAAGGAAAATCATAAATTTGCATTAAATAAGATTACATATAATTGCATAACTGCACAAATAATCTGGCTATATACAAGTAGCCCTACTAGTGTTTTAGCCCTACCAGCTAATTGTGTTTTCGACCGGGCCATATAAATATTATTATATTTTTTTTTACCAAAATGACATTTGTCGAATTATTTAAAAGAGTCTGGATTATTCATTATAGAAAATGGATATATTCACGAATTTTTTGATTAGATGAAATTTAGGTGCTATGGAAAGGATTTTTCCTTTTCGGCAGTTATGAATCAGGTAAAATAATAATATTAAAAATCGCTGATTGCTATTCTAATCATAAATGAATTTTAATTATTATTTTATCTAAAAAACCCGAAAACATCATTTTTTTTTATATTAGTTCATTGATTTTTTTTAAAAATATATTTTGTAATTCCATTCAATAAATAGAATTTTAAAACCCCATTCCTGAAGGTTGGTCATTTATACCCGACCCAACTATGGCTGGAATTCAGGTTGACTCCTACTCTCTGTTGAGCTGACAAGTTACCCCTCCCCCCCCCAAATCTTACTGAGTACACATGCGAAATTAAAAAGATGAGAATAAATTTTGACCTAAAACATTATACCCTTAGTTTATTTTTTAAATAATAATATTTATTTTTTATAGGGTTTTATTTCTAAAAAAAAATTTTTTTAATTTTATTCAAGTATTTTTTTATTGAGAATTTTTTCGCTTTGGTAATACTTTTTTTTCCCTATACCATTTTTTTATAGATATCTCTAGCTTAATTTGGGATATTCCAATATTCGAAATCCCATATACTAATCTCGAATTAATTTGTTTTTTTTTTGAAATCTTTTAAAAACCACGAAATTTGGGATTATTGTTTAAAAAAAGTTTCAAACACCTTAGACTCTTTGTTAGTTAGTTGTTTATGATTCAGTGAAAATATTAAAGAATGAAGAAATGGATAATTATTATAGCAATATAGAACAAAATGCCAATATCTTTTTCCAACTTTTATTTTACATTTTATTAATATATTTTTATAAAGTTAAAACAAGTAAATTTTCGATTGAATATAGATATTTTACATTAATAGATTAATGTTTCAACACTTTCTGAATATTTTGAAAATGATACTGCTAATTTTCATCTAATGAAACTCAGAGTATATTGAAGAATAAACACTACAAACTACTCTCATATGTGTTGTTAAACTGATTAAACACCAAAATTAGTCAAATATTAAGTTGTTTAATTTTTTTAAAACTCTTTTCACGTGGAGTAAAAAGCACAATTAGGTTATTTAACACAGGTCCACTAAATTTGTATTCGGTTCCAAATTTATAAAAACATTTAAAATTTTAAAAGCGCTATAGTGGTAGATTGCTTTGTGGTTAAACTACATTAGTTGACATTTAAATTTGTAAATTATGATATTTAGTCTCTTTTGTAAACTATTTGGTAATTTTAATAGATTTCTGACACTTTAAATAAATATTTTATATAAATTAAGGGTTACCGAGATAATTTGAGATTGCAGCAAGTGCGAATCCAAATTTCAATCCGACATTGCTAAATAAGATATGATAATAAATTTACCTAAATATTATGATATCGATAATATGTGTAATTAAGCTCTATCAATCAAGGAAGTAAAGTTTCTATGATTTTGAGTTTTATAGAATGATAAAAATAGATTGAAATTAGTAATTCCTGATCAAAATTTGCAATTGCCATATTCCGAAACAAAATATTTTTATTAACCTATAATGCACATTGAGCAAATACCTACATTTTATAGCAAAATAAGTATTCAAATTTAAAAATGTTTACAATTTAATTTTTGGAATTCAGATATATTATACACATTGTCGAATCTCTTAAAAACATACTCTATGATATTTATTATAAGGTATATATTATGATGTAGCGTAATCTGGTATTGCATTAAGATACATAACAAAGCGGAGTATCATTTTATATTTAATTATTATCCTTTTTTTAATGGAATACAAACTATGAAATATTAGAATGTCAACTTAAATATAATTAAAAAAATATATTTCTTTATATAATTTCCTAAATATACACCCCATTTTAAAAAATTTTTATTTTAAACTTGTTCCATTAGAGTTTTCCATTTCAGATAATGCTTAACCACTAATGTATAAATTAAAAATTCCCAAGCGTTATATTATTTTTAAAAAAAAAATTCGTTATGAAGAGCTAATCATCCGATAGAAAAATAATTAATTTGATTAAATTTAGTTAAATAATTCCAAAAAATTTTTTTAATAAAAACTCTCAGATTTCTTCCGATCTCCCATTGTAAAATATTCATTGCCTATCAAATAAATCATAGTTTTTACTCTTTGATTCCAGTTTTATAAATAATCAAAATTTGTTAAATTTATATACATACATATATATATAATATAATATAACAATTTATAAAAATAATTTAAAAGGAGGTATTTTTTGTTTATATTTTTATAAATGCGATTTCACTATAATACCCTTGTAAAAGTAAATTTTTTAATATCCTATCGCAATACGGGATTAAACTAAATTATAATATGAAAATTACATTATTATTTTTTTACTTTTTCTCATTGGTATCAACTAATTTTGATTAAGCAAATAAAAATGAATAATAATAATTTCAATATATTATGAAAACTAGAATTAACCTGAATCGATATGATTCAAAAGAAAATCAATCTTCCTAAAAACAATATACAGATTATAGCTTATATTCTAGATTATACATGTTAGGCATGGCATCCGATTTTTCTTCATATTTATTCCATTTAGATAATGTAACAATATTCTTATTATGATTTGGTTCTAGTTTATAGATTACCTTTATTTTAGGTATAGTGTTAATGAAATAAATAATATAAAATATAATTAACTTAAAGAAAACAAGCAAATAAAAAATATTTAACTTCTGAAAATTGTCGTAAGGAATCAAAATAATGCACCAACTCAGCCTAAAAATGATTATTAAAATGTATAGATATATTTAGGATTTGTTGACATATTATTATACATTATATTATATATAACGCTAAACATTCTAAATGAAATCTTAAAAAGCAAATTTATTTATTAACATTTTTTTTTAAATATTTTATAAATAATAATTAATTTTTTTATTATAATCTTATTACTAGATTTATGAAGTAAGGAAAAGCTTATAAAAATTTATAACATTAATTATAAGAAAATAAATTATTTAATAAAATTTAATCGCGTTATAGTATTGGGATAAAATCTTTATTAGAATAATGTAGTCATTTAATAAAAATTATATTATAATTTTAAAAATAATTATTTACGAATAAAAACTTGTAAAAATATTAATCAAGTAGTTTCAGTTTAAATTCGACATGTTTAGTGTTCATTTTTAAACAGATACCTATTTAAAAATAAAATAAAATTCTCTATTGCCATGATTAATTACCCAAAATATCTATGAAAAATGGGTAAATATTGCATGCTGTTATTATGGTATATTTAATTATCAACTAAAAATGACAATCATAAACTAATTAAAATGATATGCCATATATAATGATCATTTGCTCAGTTATAAGTATTTAGTCCCTATAACTTGATCATTATAACGAGGAATTAGCACTAGAAAAAAGTGTAATCATTATTGGAAGTCTCATTTACCAAAGAATAATACACTTTTCTTTATATAAGAAAATATTAAATGTAATAAATATTATTGTTATATACTGAGGTAAAAATAAAAGGCACATTTTTTAACAATTGATTTGAATTTGTCATATCTTTAGCAAATGTGTAGATCTAAAATATAAAGATATTTATATAAATTAAATATATATTGCTTAGACATATTACATAAATCTTTTGTGAATATAAAATTAGAAAAAATTGAAGAAGATTGATGAAGTATATTTTATTAGGACATATTTTTGATATATGGACTTAATGGTTTATGATTATTTTCTATTATGGAAAACCCACTATTAAATAAATAAAACTACAATCATCTATTAGTAAATATCTTTTGAAGTCACTTTACTCATTGAATGCAAACATTTATTTTTCATTATTAGTTAAATATCATTAAACTTAAACTGATCCGAATTTTTTTTAAAATTTACATTATTTAGTCGCATTTATTTTAAAAAAATATTTATTGTTCTATACTAATATTTTTGATTCATAATCATATAATCTTATTATATCATTTTATGACCGGGTTCATTATTTTTGAATATAGCTTTGACAATAATAATTATCTTTCAATGGGAAATTAAATATATGAGCAGTAATTTCTTTCTTATTCATACTCATCGCCTGATCTATTCTCGTCATTTTCGGTAGCAAAGCTCATGATTTTTAAAGAATAAGGTAATAAGCCCGATCAGCTTAAGGAATTCCTTTTTTTACGACAAAGACTTGCTATTTCCATTACGCTCTAACTAACTACGTTTTATCTTTTCCATCGATTAATCTTCCATGTTTTTGTTTTCCATCTTCCCTTCTCTTTCCTAGATTTTAATTCTTTTATCCCCTTACCCTTTTAGCAAATTCATAAATTCTAATTTTATATTTGTCCACTTTAATAATTTATTTATATATTTTTAAATAAAATTTTATTTTGCATGTCAGGCCTCTGGATTTATAAATGTATGGATATTTTTAAATATCTCAAATTTGTTCAAAAAAGGAGTTATGTATTACACATTTTCTTTTAATTTATTTAAACAATAGTTTAAACCTAACAAAATTTTATTGCAATAATAGTATAAAGAATTCTTAAAAAATTTTAGGATCTTAATGAGACTTAAAAATGGATACATATTTTAATAATTTTATTAAAATCTCTAAGGAATAGAATTACACAACCCCCCCCCTCCTGCTCCCAAGAAGGTTAAAAATGGTTAATCATAATAGGAACATTTATATCAATACATTAGGAGTAAAAACATAAAATTAAATTTTGGCGATAGCTAAATAACAAATGAATAAACATGAATCATGGTTACCTCATTTATCGTTCTATTGTTTATCCTTAAAAGGATTAAAGGATACAAGATTCTATCATTGAATGATATTAAATATTCTAGACATTTCTTTTGAATATCATTAGAATTTGGTTGAGAATCTCCTTTGAATAATTTTATTGGTAGCAAATTCAATTCTTTGACAATCATTAGAAGAAAAAAATCATGAAGGTCTCTAAAAATAGATTTAAATGTGAATTTAAAAGAGAAAACTATTAAAATTTGTTTACAAATATTAAGAAATTATTTTATATTATATATCCTCTAATTATTATAATAATTAAGCATGAGCTGGAATAAAAAAATTATATTTACAAAAAGTGAAAGTAATACTAGAATTATAATTATAACCACTAAATAATATTTGACCATATAATATTGAAAAAAATTTTTTTTTTTAGATATTATATTGTAAAAGAATTTTTAATTACATTCATAGATGCTTTTATTTATGCCACAGTTTCATAGATGCCTAAAATATTTAATTAATAATAATAAATATCTAGGAACTAGAGAAGTCAAAATTTTAAGGTTTGGCCCGTATTTGGGTTGATTACTAATCAACTCCCTAACCAACAAGATTTTCAAGAATATTTTTATTTACCAGGCTAAGATTTGTTATTTTCTTAAGAATAATTATCTCCCCTGAAATTTTAAAAAAAAAATCGTGTTATTTTATATAATAATTAGATGTAATTATTAACCTTTTTAACCGAAAATTGACAGCATGACAAGTAAATCAACTTATTAATTATTTTCCAACCTATTCATAAAGGTAAATTTAAATTCGTTTATTTGAAAGTGGTCCCCTAAAGGAATTATTAAAATTATTATTAAAATTTTTAGTAGCCTAAATAGGAAACGAATTTTTCTGAATATTGTCAAGATTTTTAACCAAACATTCTGGGAGGGTGACAGGTTTCTGATAGAACTACCGTAAATTTTTTTGTTTCCTATGAATAATAATTACCAGTGCACTATATTATTTATTTTGGGGGGATAAAGACTCTACTCTGTATTTTATCGTAAATAATTAAGAGGATGGAGCGAAATTAATTTTAGCAATTTTTGCTGCTTTTTTTTAGAAAAGTATTTTTTTTCAGAAGCCTGGGGATAATAGGAGTCACTGTATTTGATTTGAATAACTATATTATGAAAATTTATATGAAATAACTTACATAAGATCTTCAATGGAATTAGAGTATATCTCAGTGAATTCGTTGAATTGTTCAATAAATAACTTTTCGATCATTATGTCCGTGTTTTTGGGCATTATTATATCAGCGTCTTTGGCAAGATTTTTAATGAGTAGTTTAAGATTAGTCTGTTCCATTAAATATAAAATTTATTTCAATTTAAAAAAATGATTAGTAGTCAATTAATAAATTATCCTCGCATATATATTATAATTATATTCTAAACTCCTAGCAAATTTAATATGATTTAAATATCATAAATAATTTATGAGGTCATCTTTAAAATTGTATGAGCAATTATCGTCTAGGTATAGTAACATTTAGGAAGAGTAGTCTTTCAAAAATGATCGAGAAGAAAGGATCAAACTTCTTTTTTTTTAAATTTAAATTTATTAGCAACTTTATAAGGGGAGCCCTGGTATATGTAATTTCGGGACAGGTAATTTATTTTTAGATAATTTTAAAACTTGTAAAAATTTAAAGAGTCAATTTATTATTCGATGCTTCAAAAGTTTTTAAAATATTTCGCATAAAATATTGCCCATGAAAAATTGTTAAATGCAACTATAAAATTTACTATCTCGACTTTAGATTGGAAATTTGTCCAATTGCCTGGAAAATTAAGAGGCATCATTTAAAATGGCTCCATCCCCTGTTTCCTATATCTTTCCTGTTTTCTTCTTTAACAAATAACTCACTAATATCTTTGGTGTGTTGCTATTGTTATTTATGGGTAAAGTGCTAACACAGGTGTAATCCGAGATGAGAGATTTACCCATAGTACATAGGATAATTGTGAGGCCACCATGAAAGGTCACTTTCCAAAATATTGGAAATTTTTATAATAAATGATCTAAAAATGAAAAACGCCTACAACGCCAACTACGAAGTGTTAAGGCACATCAGGTGTAAAAAGAGATTTCTTCCTTAAATAATAATTCCTACCATAGATAATATTTTGAAAACATCTATTTATTTGTAAATAGAACTTCAATTTCTAATAGACAATATAATCTCGGTCTTCATTATATCAAGTAGAATAAATTAAATATCTAATATTGCGTTTAACGTTAACGCGTCATTTTCTAAAATTGATTCCTTATTAAAATTTTCTTATCCAATTGATTCCCCAAAACACTAAGAGGGATAAAAATAAAAGAATTTAAGAAGGACTTATATTTATTTCATATTATATATCTTTGAGTTCCAAGAGGTCAGCGATTCTATTGGAGGGAAATGAGGTAACACATGAGAGGCCCAAATCAAGTATTTGCCGCCCGAGCCAAGATGTTAAAGGCATGCCATCAGGAGAGTTACTATCCTCATTTATAGTGCCTAACGGCTCTAAAATATTGAAACCGGCGGAAATCATAAATTTGACGATCAACCAATTTAGATTTGTAATGTTGCAAAAGACGACCGCTGGAGATAAACGGTACTTATAAGACAAATCAACTTGCTTATTGCAGGCAGCAGAAAAAAATACAGATAGGAAACCTAACCTAAGGCTAATGGCAATTTGAAACTCATCGTTTGAGTAATATTTCCTTTTTCCTACTCGAGATCGCGTCTAGCCATTCATGGTCATTAAAAAAAAATTTTGCGTTTCTGAGTAGTTGAAGGTTAGTTGGATCGGGATAAAAATAAAAGTTTGCCAAATGCACATTAAAATACGAGATTTAGGAAGCTATTTTAATGGATGGAAAAGGGGTGATCCCACCCTTGGAGAACTAGAGCAAGCCAAGATTGTAATTCCATTTTAATATTGAATTTGTAAAAGAAAATTTTAATTAACAATAAAATGCAATTAATATTTAATATACTATTTTAAGTGTTCCAGAAGCATTCACATAGGGTATCTTCTCGTATGAGCTATTCTCGTATTTGGGACTGTTTACCATATTAATAATTATCTTTTTAAAAAATATTAATATAAGTATAAGTATTTTTATGTCAATATTTTTCTTTATTATTCTAGATAGATAGTCAGTAAATTAATATTTTCGTAACTCGAGCCTTACCCGAAATTTTTAGATCCAAACTCCACTCGAGGTCCGAACCAAAAAAAAAATTTTATAATTTGAGTTTTTAATTTTAATAATTATTTTTTATCTTTTTAAAAAAATATATATAATAAAAATTTGCATATAAATCATTTATTAAAATAGAATATGAAAAATATTTTTTATAGATAAAGGAAACAAAATATTAAATTTTTTTTAAAAAAAGCCTTATAAAAATAAATTAAAAAGAAGAATAGTAAGTGAATGATTTAGGCCAAGAATTTTTAGGCATTTAATAATTGTAGTTGAAATTATTGTGAAAGTAATAAAGTAATGGTTTTTAATTTATGAAAAAGAGAGATTATATTTTTATTTTTCCTTATGGATCTCGAAAACGCTCTGAAATTTTTTTTAAATTATAATAATTAATTTTTTTTTTAAAAGGCATATCAATATTAATTATAATTAACATTTTTTTAGGATATTCGTATTTTTTATATTTATTTATCGGGCCGAATCTCGTTCGGGCCGGGTAAGGTCCGGGCTTACTTGATCTCTAGTTCAAACCTTCCATCCAAGAGAAAAACTCGCTTGAAATATTTATGGTTAAGATATTGGATTAGCTGTTTTTAAAAAATGGAGCTGTTTAACAATAACTAATTAGTAGCTACTTGAATATTAAGAAAAGTCCTGTCTATCTTAAATAATAGGATATATGTAAATCACATTCATTTTATTAAAATATAATAACAATACTTGACCATAATCTTCTGCAATCCTTTTTATATTTTCGCTTCGAGTTTCATTTCCGCCCAGTTTAAAATACATATCAATTCCAGACAATTGGTGGCTAATTTGAGATGCATAATATACGCTGGTGACGATCTTCTTTCCCATTTCATTTTTTTTGTAATAGATAGTAATTGGTAAAAAACCAGTAAGTCTAAATAAATTTGCTATTCGCATTTTTATTTCCATTTTTTTAAATTTAGAAGAGGTCGCCAACGCTAATAATGTAAGCCTATTTTTTTTCATATATTTTTTCAAATCTTCTTTTTGTTTCTTCTCAGTTTTTTCCCCATTATCCTTGCAGGAGCGGAAATAATTTGTGAGTCCTTCTAGAGCAATTTTAGCGTCATTTTCAAAAAGTTTATTTGGTTTATTATTATTTTCCCCTACATTATTTATATCTTTGAGAAAAAGAAGAAAAAAATTATATATATATATTTTATTAATACAAAATAAAACAATTTTTATTTTTATAGGAATTAAGTTTAATCTAACTTTAAAAAGATATAAAAAAAAAGAATAATCGTTATAGAGTATTGCATACCTAGAGTTTCGATTAATTTTCCATATTTCTGAATTTTTGTTAATTCAGGGCTTGTATTGAAATTGCAACCTTTCGATAATACGTCTATGCAATTTATCTTGTTTTTTTTGTTTGTCGAATTGATGCTCCCTTGAATATATATTTTAATTAGTTAATTACATTTACAAAAAATATCCAAAATGTTTAAATCACCCACTTTAAACTGGCCAAGCCAACTCTTAGCCCTAAAATTTTTGAAATGTAGCTTTAATTTTAACCTCAAGTGCAAAAAGAGATACTATTTTCTAATATGAAAAATTTAATAAAGCCGATTTAATTGGAATTGATTAAAGTTACGAATCAAATTACTCTGCGTCTAAATAGACATTAGTTTAATTTTGAAAGTTATTTTAATTTTTATTTATTTTAGAGAATTTACAAATTTTACCAACACAGAAGAAAAATGACCTTGGAAGTAGGAAAAACAGTACGGAAACATTTTGGAGTATTTTTGTTTTGAATTGAAAATAAAACTTAAATTTTTATTTTAGAAATAATTCAAATCTCTTTGGATATGGGGATTCGTTATATATTTTTAAAAAAATAACAAAATATTTAATATCTATTATGCTTTTAATTAAAAATCAAATTAATTATTGATTTAATTTTTGTAAAAAATTATCAAATTTCGAATTCATATTTCCATCCCCCTTTTTTTAAAACAATTATATATTCTGAATTATTATGCTAACTGTTAGCATCGATATATAATGAAAAGTAAAATTACAACAAAACAAAGTAATTCAATTATAAATTAGAAGAAGGGATAAAAAATAATCTACACTCATTTTAACCAAGTATTTTAATGCATATTGAATAATTTAATACCCTATAGATATAGTTTATCTTAGCACACGATTATTTGCGCGTATTTCATTTATCTTCAAGTGATATCCATTACAATAATCAAATGGAAATTTTAAGAAAAATAATTATAAAAGCTAGAAAAAAAATATAGAAGAGATATAAGATTTTTAATCATGGTGAATGATATTCAAATCCTCATTTTTAGCAACTTTTACTCAATATTATAATTTATAAATTAAACCTGATATATTTTTCTTTATGTATTTAATCATGCATCATCATCGTTATTAGAATTATTAGAATTTTTCTATTTATCTTATTTTCATTTGCCAAAGATGATATATACAACTAATTATATAGAAAATTTTGTTTTACTAAAAAAAAATTTATCAATTAAGAATGATGGATCTTCCTTTTTTACTTTTAGATAATTTTAATAAAATAAAGCAGGTTTGAATTTTTAATGAATTTAGTTATTTCTCCTTTTTACAAAAAAATAATAATATTTTCGATAAAAAAAAGTAATTAATATTAATTATATATTTATGAATTGACTCTAATTCTGAACCAGATACCTTTAAGGCCCTTGATTATTTGAATATCCCGGCCCAGGACCCGCTGTTTCTATATTACCAGGTCTGGTCCGGCACACATTTAATTTAATTCCCAAGCCCTCAATTAGTCGAATATTTTCCCCAAGCCCGACAAATCCTTTTATTTATAATATAATTATATTGTAATAATACAAATACAAATGTAATATATTATTGACAAACTAATATTAATAAGAAATAAAATTTAAGTTATTTTTATGAAAATAAAAAAAATATTTCAGTGTAATTAAACAATTATTTTGTTTGCAATATTGATATTTATAATTATTAGAATAAAATTGAAAAATTCGACTAATTTGAAAAAAAAATGTGTTAACATGCAGCAAGTAGAATTTAATGAAATTATGATTTGTTATAATTTTCTTAATAAATATCCTTCAAAATAAGTGATGCAATTTAAATTAAAAAAAAAAATTAAGCTCAACCAATTAAATATTTTTCTTTAAAAATTGGCCCCTCCCAGGCCCGCTAGTAAATTTAATGTTTTAAAAATATTTTTGTAATAAAATAGAAAGATTGAAAACATCTTAATTAAAAAATTTATTTGAATTAAATATAATAATAACTATGGAAATAATAAGTAATTTAAAAATTTCCAGGAGAGGGGAATTATCCTTCTCCTCATATCTAATATTTTGTGTACATTGATTTTTTTTTATTTCTCTAATAATAATAAATATTCAAAATTTTTATCAAGTTTTTAAATTCTTGTTATTCTTATATCACATTTTACTTAGACATTTAATATGATCGAGTTCTAAGCATTTTTTCTTCTTTTATTTGCAAAATTTTAATAAGAGGAAAATCATTTTTACTTAATATCCAAAAATTATTTAATAGTTAAAATATTCCTTTTGTCCATTATATTATTTCCTAAAATTGGTTTTGAAAAAGGAAATGGTTTTTATATGTCACTATTTTTAGTAAAGACGAGAATGTATTCTAAGCAAATTAAAGAAATTTTTATCGTGACTTAATTAAAATATTTTTTTGATACAATCAAGAATTTTGTGAGGATTTGTTTATTGAGGCCGTTTCCAATCAGTCAAATAGGCAAGTATATCTTTCTCTCAAATTTTTTATTCAAAGTTACTAAAATAATTTTTTAATATAAAATCCTTGCCAATTTTGAAAAATAATTTTCTATTTAACGGTTTTTAAATTATTTACCCAACAAATTTTGTAATATTATTTAATTATTTTTAAAAAAGATAATTTTATATATTTATTTATTCTGTCGTATTGTCAATTTTTGGGAAAAAATTTTCTATTTATTTAGCGTTTATTGAACTGTCTATCCAATAAATTTAAATTAAAATTAATTTTATATGAACTCTATATTATAAAATTGATAATAATCTTAAAAAGTTTGTAAATAAACATTAAAAATATATTCTGATTACAAATTTTAATCATTGCATAAAATATATTATAATTATGACAAGAAATAGAAATTATATTAAAAAAATATTTAAGCTTTGGGGAAACTTTATTATATATTAATATTTTTCAAAGCATATATAAAAAGGGGAAAGGAACAATGCTAACATTGGAAGGTTAAAACTAAATCAATTTTTTTGTCTTCCAATGTTTCACACGATTTTCTAGGATTAAAATGGAATTCGTTAACTTTTACAAGTTTATTTTTATAACATATAATTTATATTAGTTACCTATTCCAGTAGCTAAAATAAATATAAAAAGTTTATAATATTCAATATTCATGTCATATATTTAAAATAATATTGGTCTATGTGTTGTTATTTTCCGCCATTGTGTTATTTTTTCAAATTTTAATCATTATTTTTTTTTGAAAGCGTTTTATAAATTTAAATATCTGATTTTACGGAGAAATGTATTCCAGCATGTGCAAAAATATTTATTACATGATTTTTTAAAAAAATTCTAATTAATTTTTTTAACTAATAATAATTTACACTCATGATTCTATAGTTATTTTATATTAAACGACTTTAATTTTGACCCTGAAAATACCTGTAATCTATAAATTTACATTGAAGGAAAAAACATGGACCATACAGTATTATATTTAGTCCATACATTTAAGAAACCACAAAAATTGGAATCATTTTTATATAAATTTTCTTTTATCCTGTGTTTTGACTCAATGATGTGAATACTATCATTTATTTTATAAATTAACCATTCAATCTTTTAATAAATTTTAAGGAATTTATTTTTACTTTGAAACCCCCCCCCCCTTAAAAAGCGCACAATTGAAATTTATCTTCTCCTTATATTTTATCATGTAAAGTTTAAAATATTTAAGCTTATAAATAAACAAACAATAAAATTAAAACATAAATTTATAATATAATGTATTATAAATATTTAAATTGATAAGATTATTTTATTTACCATGGGATTCCCAGAAAATTAGAACAAGTGAGAATAAAATTGGTAAAAATTTATTCATTTAAAAAATTGATTTTAAGTAAAGAATTATTTTATAATTTTTTAATAATAATAAATCAAAAGAATTTTTAGGAAGTTTAAATAAAAATTATTTTAGATTTTGAATAAAAAGAGCCAATTTATAATATCTTTCAACTGAATTATTATTTATTTATTTATTATTCTTATTTTATCTAATAATCTTTATTAACGTAATAAAATATTTTGTTTTTAGTGAATATCTATTTTCCGAGAATAATTTGTTAACTAAGAGATAGAAATAATATAAAAATTCTACGAATTAATAAGATAGAAAACAATTTTGTTAATAAAATCAAAATTATTTTCCACGAATTGAGAAGAAAAAAAAACAATTAATTTACGTTTATTACTATGTTATTGTAAATAAAAAGATTTTTTTTTTAAAAAAAAAAAAAGATGGATGAGATTTTTTTAATATTTCATTTTTTTTGTAATAACATTTGTAAAGTGGCCATATGAGATCACCTGGTATTTAAAATTGGGAAAACAAAACTGAAAGGCTTTAATCCCAAAAAGGTACTTTTATTTTAATAAAATGTTAGCTTAAAAATATCTTTATACGATATCTACTATATTTATTTTTTTTTTTTCAATATAAAGTTTATCTGCCGATTAGAGGAATGTTTCCCTTTTCTATATGATGCTTCCAAATTATATATTATATTATAGTAGTATAATATGCCAAAATAAATGAAACACTTTGCATTGGATTAAGAGAAGGGGGGGGGGTAAAAAATAGGCCAGTTTTGGTTTTTTGGACTTGACTCGAATTTTAAAACTTTACGATCCGGAGATGTGTAGGTTGATTTTCAAAAATTTACGAAATCTTGACCCGAGTTGCAACGAAAAAAATGAGTTCGGAGATTTAAATTTATTTAGATTCCAAATTTTTTAATGAATTCGGAAGAATAATCTAAAAACCCATGTTCGATCGTAAACTAAGGAAGCTTTAAAATAAATAAATAAAAATTATTAATGTTTATGCCACCTGGTAAAGAACATAAAAACTTTCAGGTTTATCTTCGATCTGATGTGTAAAGACGTATGGCAAGATGAATTTCGGAGCTTAGAGATGACACCCCGGTCACCGACGACTTGGACAGCCGTGTGCTAAGGATACTTGTCCAATAAACATAATGAATGAAACAAATTTTTAAAGGAAAATTTTTATATAAATATATAATTAGTAAAATGGAAAAATAGCTCCATTTGAAACCTATTTTTAAAAAGGGCTAACTCAATATTATCACCAAATAAAATATTGCCTTAGCTGGGACATTTCGTTGATAGATGTCCAAATCCTTTTTTTCATTTTCTGAAAAAAACATTGAGTTAGCCCATTTTTTAAAAATCGGCTCAAATAGAGCCATTTTGCATCACTATATATAATAAATAAAAAAAGTTATTAAAAAATATTTTTTATTTGTCCGACTTAAAAATTTTAAAACATTTACCTTATTTAAAGACATAACAAATAATATGGATCTTATCAACAAATAAGTCATCTTATAAATATAATCTCCACTTTATTGACTATATTTTCTTTATATCATTTATTTTCGTCATTTTTTAATAAGATTTTTATTTATACATTATTATCTCTTCAATAAAAAAACAGAGATTTACGAGATCTGGTTCTGATAATTTTTGCACAATTTATCTTCGCAAAGATCTAATTAGTATAACTATATTTTCTTCTTTTATTTTCTTTCTTTTATTTTCTTTCTTTTATCATTTCCAACGAAACGATAAATTTCTCCTTTAAAATATATGTAAAATTTTGTTAAAAAAAGATATGATAATTTATTATGCTTGTATTAGCGTAAATTTATATGAATAAGATTTTTAAAAAAAAAGATATTTTAACTATAATATTATGTATTGTAATTTTGTTATATTAAATATTTTTACTTAAAAAAAAATTTTCTTATTAATTCCATAATAAAAACAGGAGATAAATATTTACTTTTATTTTATTATTTCAATATATCTACGCAATAAACAAATTTAAAATATAAACGTGATTTTTACAAATTTAAAATAAATATAAAATCATTAATATATATCTTAAATTTCAATTACTATTAATGCATATCGGATCATTTTCTCGGACCTGCTTGATCTGACCAAATTAGAATCGGTTATATTGCATTCTCTGGGACTTATTAGAGTCATGTCCTTATCATAACACTATATATGAGTCGATCTAATGTTTCATGATTATATGAAACAATATTTAATAAACCACTAATTTGATGTCTCTTCATTTTTATAGAAATCGAATAGGATTATAAATTTAAAAAAAAAATTGTTTAAAAATTAAATGCTCAGTGAAAAAATAAATATATATTTGAATATTTAAATTGGAAAAAGTGCACAAAATTTCAAAATAGTTACTTATAGAAGATATTTTTTTAAAAAAAAAAAAAATTAGCCATATTTTAGGTAGAATTTTATCAAAAATTTTATTCATTTAAGAATAATCATCAGAGATATCAGCTTATAATTTTGATTTATACCTGAGTTCCTATTAAACTCGATCCTTTTTTGTAGTAGCAATAAATCTCATAGATCTGCAGGCCAAGTCCTAATCCAGGGACCGAAATGACAGACTGGCCGTATTTTAATTCTTTTAAATTAAATAATGAACGCTTTCTGCAAGATTTATGAATTTCTAGGGTCATGTAATATGCATGATTAAAGTTTGACAAAAATTTGAACCTTCCAACAAGTATTTTTATTTTATTAAATTTTACATTTAAGCACAATATACTATTTAAATGATAATGGTTTTCAAATATAGTTAAACTTGAGCTTAATTAAAATTTTAAGACAATAAAAACATTATGGAGTTTTAAAATGAATTTATCTTGACAGAAATCGGTCTATCGCATCCCTTGAATCTATTAATGAAAAAAAAAACTATATCAGAACGAACCTAATATTTTACAAATTTCGGTGCATCGGATTATTCACAAAAATCTTTAGCTGAAATATTTAAAAAAGAAACATTCATGATTTAACAGATGCTATTTAGCCGTAGTATGTACCAATGAACCTCTAAAAAAAATACTTTCAGAGATTGGTTTGTTTTATATTGTTAACAGATGTAACACTGTTTACACTAACTCCACTGGTAAATCTGCAAAATGATTAAAGTGTAAAGGGGCAGTTTTTCAATGATAAAAAAACAAGTGGCAAATCATTCTATTTCTAATGCAATTACAATGTCTCTAATTTGTCGAATTGCAAAGTTTGATTTAATAAAAAAAATGAATTTTAACATGTCGAAAAGTTGAGATTTTGTTTATCCAATAAATGTGCAATAACATTGGACCCTGTTGATAGAATTTTGATAAAAATTTGCAGAAAAAAATTGACAATTTATTCCAAATCTATTAAAATTATGTCTATTTTTAGTATGTACCGATTTATTTGCTAAAGTCAAAAAAAGGTATCCAATTGGAACACAGTGCATATTGGCAAGAATTAATGTTCAAATTTTGACGAAATTATCATAATTTGTGGGATTAAAATCCATTTTCGCTTTAAAACTAAATCTTCTGCTCAAATAGGAAGATTTCACTATATGCATATAATTTTTAAAATTTATTAAGTTAGTTAGGTGGGGTGGAGGGGGAGTTAGGGTTATTTTTTTAAAAAAGTCTACATTCGTATATTTTATATTATATTCCAAATTATTAAATAAATAAATAAATATATAGATATGTTTTAAGAATTTTATGAAAATTTTAAATTTTACTATAATGTTTTGTTTGGCAAAATTATTTGCTTCTTTTTTTTTACTTATTAAAAAAATAAAAAACAAAAAAAAAATTATTATGTGTTATTGGCCGGCAGAACCGAACGGAAAAAATATATTATAAAAATCTTGGATTTTGTTACGTTAACAAACTTGATTTTAACACTAGATTTTAGTCTATCTTTTTTGTTTCTGAAAATCAGTTTTTATTAGACACTTTTTACGAAATATTTACATTATTTTCGAGAAAAATATTAATTTTTTTTATCCTCTCCCCTCTTGATGTCTTTTCATTTTTTTTCCTCCTTCTCTTTTTCTTTCTTTCTTTCTTTCTTTCTTTCTTTCTTTCTTTCTTTCTTTCTTTCTTTCTTGATAGATAGATTTTTGCTCAAAATTCTTTTATTCCATCCAGATCATTTTAAAAATTAATAAATATCTTTGATTAAATTGAACTGCTACCCCTTTTTTGTAGTAGCGGTAAATCTGTCAAATTTCAAATATAATTCAATAAAATTGTGTAGATCGATAGATGGATAAATAATCAATGCTTCCTGCATGATTCGTCGGATTCTTTTAACAGGATCTAATGTTATGCACATTCAAGGTTCGGAAATTCGAACTATCCAACATGTAAAAAAAAAAAATTTTTCCATTAAAACTTTACATTTAAGTAGGCGTTAATTTACAAAAAAATGGGTTTTTTTTGTAAAGATGTTTTGAGATTAACTAAGATCTTAAGAGACAAGAAAACATTTCAGAGCCAAAAGATTTTAGGAAGAACTTCGTAACAGAAACTGGTCCATCTCAGTCTTGAATCGATTGAATGCAAAATTGATACTATATCAGGTTAGCAGAAAAGGGGTATATCTAAATTAATACCCAGGTTCTGTCCAGAACTCTGTAAAATTTTAATTTTTAAAAACAATAATTAAAAACTCTTTTGTCCCCTTAATTTTTAAAACATTTGCCTTCTTATACAAATATAAACTCAATTTCGATTTTATCAACAAATAGTCATCTTAAAAATGTTATCTTCATTTTTATTAATAGCTTGGGATGTTGTAATATTAATTGGGAAAGGTTAAAATTTGATAGAATTAAACAAGTTGAACCAGAATTTTATTATTAAAAAAAGAATAAAATATTTGTATCAGTCTAAAAAAAAGAGATTATATAAGTAATTTATATGTTTTTATATGGTAAAAAAAAAATCTCCCTCAGATAGTA